ATTCCTGTATGGGAATTATGGAGGTCCTGTGACACTAGTAGCGTAGGGTTAACTATAAAGATAGCTGGACCAAGTCATGTCTAGACTTGCCAAAGTAATAAAAAAAAAAAATAAAAAATAGTATTTTGTTAATAAAACGTTATTTAGTGGTCCAAATAAAATGATTTTGGTACTATTGGATTCGTCTCACAGAGACGAATCGAATGGTACCAAAATCATTCTAATTGGATTACTAAATCATAATATATCCAAGTTTTTGTAAAATTTTATATATAAATATATGGATTTTTAAAAATTTTTTATATAGTCTGGAGGAGTTAAGAGCTACTATGTAGGAGTACATAATATTATATATGGATGTCTCTTTATTATTATCGTGCTGTTGGTCTGGTAAGCTACACAGGCAGCTATAAGTAAATCTTTGAGGTTTTTTCTGTTGGCTTTGTACTTGTTTATATATAGTCTGTTTAGTTTAATTGGAGGTTTGTATATTGTGCTGCTTTTTCCATTTTGCAAGTTTTTCACAATATGGCTTCCAGATTTGCTTGTAGGTCTCTGTTGAAGTATCTGAATTATGATATCTGCTGCCTCTTTGTGTTGTATACCAACTGCTTGTAATGCTTGTAGCAGGTGGGATGAAATAAGTCACTTAATAGTAGTAGATAATACATGTGTTTGGGGATTAGAAGAAAGAATATTGTTAAAAGAGGTATGAGATTTGATAAGGTTTATTATTGCTCTCTGTTATATTAGAGTCTGGTTGCTAAAGTGTTTGACAATCATTTTCGAGATTGAGAGATAAACGATTTGGCTAATTGTTTGTGAGTTGTGGCAGATAAGCCAGTGCATAGCTAAGTCTGGAGCATTGCATGTAAAGCAGATATTGGCTAGAAATATTTTAGACATGATACTGTAGAAGTGGTAGTAGGTTGGCAGTTTGTTAAGCAAAATTTTGACTCTAAATGCTTTTATCTGGTTTAGTTTAGAAGATGTGATATTAGTTGTAGCTTTTGAGTTATCAAGTTGAGCCCCAGTCGATTGTTTAGATATAACTTTTCCATTCAGCATTGCATTTTTGTGAGGACCACATTGCTATTGTGTATGCTCTGCCAATATCTTTAATTAGTTGTCTGGTAGGTTTTTCTATAGATTGTCCTTTTCACTAAATAATAAAGTTGGGGTTGTGTATATTGATATAGTTAAATTGAAGGATATAGGTTGAAAGTTTTTGATGCTTTTTAGCTAGAGAGTCAGCCAAGTTGTTGAACAAGTTGTTTGCATGTGCCTGAACTTTATGAAAAGAGAGCTAGATATTGAAGGCCTTGATAGCATTAAGAAGTATATACTATATAGGCCAGTAGTCAAATTTAAGGTATATAAAAGTTTATCATATTTAAATATAATTGACTGAAAGCCAGTATATATATCAACTCTGGCATTACAAGGTACTATAGAGATAACAGATAAAATTGCAATGAGCTCGGCCTTGTATGAGGAGGGCCAATTAAGAATTTTGGCTGAAAATTGATTGATAATTTGGTTGTTATCTAGTTGCACCCAACCTATTCCTATTAAGCAATTACTGGTACCCAGTGTTGTACATTTTTAATGTCCAAACTATATTTGGCGGACTCAGACATTTTTGGACATTGTCCGATGTCCGTGTTCAAATTATGTCCGAGCAAATAGATTGTCACCGAACATTGTTCGAGTAATATTTGTCAGACACAGACATATTACGGACATGGACATTGTCCAACGTCTGTGCATGTTACTGTATGACAAAATTCGGGATTTACACAAAATTTCCGGATGATAAAATCTACTCTTTTTGGCAACAATTACGCCAAGAAATTGCCTTAATTCGATTACAATAGAATTTGTGCACTATAACTATATATATTGTTTTGATTAAATACTAATATCAATTAAAAATAAAAAGTGATGCTCAAATAAACTTTACAATTTTAAGTTTATTGTCTGTAGTTTATCAGTTTATCTTTTGATAGTTTTCTCAATTTAGTCTAAGCTCCAAAAAAAATATAATCCTATAATGTTGCCTGTAATGAGTATTGTCGGCATCTCTACTTTGAATATTCCATTATTGAAACAATCGATTATGATAGTTGATTATACATATATATTTGAGTTCTGCAAGTGCCAGGCATGATGCCATTAAAACATAGTGCCTGGCTACCCAGACACTATGATTTAATGGCCCCATGCTCGACACTTGCAGAATTCTAGTATATATTAAACAGTAGTCGGCACTTTTATCTTAATGTCAACAATGGTCTAAATTTTACCTCTTTATTAATACATTAGATTTCACATGCTGCTATAATTTTGTGGCTAATCTGACTGAGCATTAATAGACGCATAAATATGTAATAATAAAATGATTCTTAAAGTTAGTCTATATTTGCGCAAGTCAATCTAGAATATCTGTTCATATAATTGCTTTGGAAAAGTTATAATAGAAATATTTCATGTTAATTAGTATTTAAAGCATCGGCATACCTAAATTTGTAATTAAAGATAGAGAATGGGAATGCGGCTTTTGCATTCTGTATTTATTTGTCTATAACTTTAGTATTGTTCTTTCATATTGAGAATGAGTTTTTATAATAAAAAAAGTTTAGCTCATATTCGTTAATAGACAAGCCAAATATAACATAATAAATATAAGCTTTACCTGGAGAATCAGATATATATTTGACACTAAATTTCTATGATACATATTAAACTTCATTCAAAATGCCATTATCAATCTTATTGGAAAGACATATTATTAAATCTTCCGAGAAACTTGGTAAAAGTAACGTTAAAGTTTTTTGTAAAGCATGTGTTGAAGTATTGGGTGACAAACAATAGTTTTCTCAATAAAACAGATAGAATCATTCAGCACCTAAATAAATGTGCACATTTTATAGAGAAAACGACACCCGAAGAAAGAGATAAAATATTTGCCCTGTCTAATAAAAAAGGGATTTCAAATGAAAAAAGACCGGGTAAAAAAAGATTATTTTATCTTTAATTTATTCATAAGACTAATATGTGTTTTTTTTTTTAGCTTTCCCTAGTTTTTCTTATAACACTGCATCCAATTCCTCCAAAGCTTCTTCAATACGAAAAGTCATAGTACGATCCTCTTCCTATGGGCCTCTTGATAATTATGCAGTTCGACCATTGTTACAACAAGACAAAGAAAGATTTGAGATCCTTTTATTAAGGTTAACAGTATTCTGTGGGTGGGCTCTTTATTGGGTGAACAATCCTGAAGCTAAAGAATTGTTTCAATTTTTGAATCCTTGTATCAAACTCCCCAATCGTCGACTTCTTGGTGGGAGAATTTTAAAAGCAGCAGTATCTGAAAAAGATAAAGACATGTATGATGAGCTTCACCAAGACTTATTTGGTATTACCTTGACATTTGACAGATGGACAAATGTTAAAAATGAGCAATTGCTAGGCGTAATGATTATTACTTCGGGTGGTAAACCACATGCGTAGAAAGTAACTGATATTAGTTTAGAAAGGGAATCATATATTGAAGTGATAAAAAAAACAAAAGGAATGATAAATGAATTACAAGATATGGATATAAAGGTTTCTGCAGTTGTTACTGACAGTGCTGGACCTTATGCAGTGGCAAGGTATGTGCTATTTTTAAATTTTTTTTTAGATATTCTTAAGCTTAATATATTAGTGATAAATTTAAATTAGTTAAATGATTAAACTAAATTTATGAGAATATAAATTGTGAGCACCACTGTTCATTAGTCAAATTATTAGATAGTTGCAGTTTCGCGTAAATATTAATGTATTGTGCATTATTTTGACTGCTAGAATTTTTTTTTTGAAAGCTTAGCATTAGTTATTTATATCTATTAAAAAAAAGTATAACATTTTAATTATATAGAGATACTTAGAATACTTTAATTCTATAAAATTAATTTAATATTAGGCGAAGATTAAGGCTTTCTGAAAAGAATATCATTTTTTTTACCTTGTTTTGTGCATCAGCTTAACTTAAGTATCAGTGAGATTTTTAAAGAATCGACAAAACTAAAGATAACTATAGATCAAGCAATTCGGCTAGCCATCTATTTTAAGAATGCTAACAATAAATATTTTATTGCCAAGTTACGTAATCAACAAAAAATAACTTACAAAAAATATTATGCTATAGTGGTTCTGGGAGAAACTCGATGGAACAGTTATTATACTGTAGCAACCACTCTTTTGCGAAGCCAACAAGCATTAAAGGTATATATATATTATATATATATATATTAATTATATATTATCATAAAATTTTTTATGTATTCTTAGATTCTTGCGCTTAATCACCAACCACTACTTGTCCAATCCCGACAGTGAACCGGAGAAAATCCAACCCTTAATCGTGATATCTTTGAAATTATTGACTCAAGCACATTTTGGACAAATTTGACAATGATTGCAGAAATTCTGTATCCATACTGTAAAATTTTAAATATTTTACAATGTGATAATGCAAGATTAATTCATGTTATTCATGGCTTTGCATACTTAGTTCAACTATGGAATAATTATACTGACCATCAATTAGCTGAAAAAATTTTAACTCGACTGGAAAGAAGGTGGAGCAGCTAGGAACAACCTTTATTGATTTTATCTTGTTTGCTGCATCCAAAATATTGTAACCACTATTTTAGAAATAAATCAACCGTCAATTATGCTCTATTAGGCAAATATCTAGTTTACTACTATAAAGCTTGGATCAGAAAAACTCCTACTTGCATTCTGCGTGAATTTAGTAATTTTTCAATGAAGATCTACCCATTTGATGATAGTTCATATGATCACTTTAATGATATTTGGAGTTATTGGAGCTTTGTGGGAGCTTCAACAAATGAATTAGGTATAGTGGCTTGCAAATTATACGGGGTTTGTGTGAATGCAGCTGCAGTCAAACGTCTCTGGAGCTGTATGGGCTTTTTGCAGACAGATTGGAGAAGTCGACTAGTAGTAATAACTTTTGTTTTTTTTATTTATTTTTTTTTATTTTCCCGACAATCAATCTCTTACACTAATCTAATTCTAGAATTAAGGTTAGGGTCGAGAAAATGATACTGTATAGAGCTGCTTTGTTGTTTTTCTAATTTAATCTTATATTCTAGTCTCCAAAAGCTTTTGACATGTCTAAATTAAGAGCTGAGATTACATGGAATCATCGGAAAGAATCAAATTCTATTGAATTACTTGCACCAAATTTTCAAGAAAGCATACAGAACCAACAAGAGGTTACCAATGAAAAAAATAATGAGCCTTCTAATGAAACTAATCCTGAAACTGAATCAAGACTTGAATCTAAACCTGAGAACGAAGATAATATAGCAAACGAAAACTTTAATGATGAAGAGATAGCAGACTCAAATTCTTTGGAGGAAGAATTTAGTCAATTTTTGGATGTATGGGTAGAAATATCAGCAAATGAAACCAAAGAATTAGCAGATATAGACGAAGAAGAAGAAAAATTTTCTTTACCAGTTGATGATATTATTCACCCAGTGGTCGATTCTAGTACCAAATGGGATCTAATTACACTTTTTAATGAATTACCATTATTGTAATTCATTTTTTCAATTTTCAATTTTAACAATTCAATTTATTTTA